TGACCATAATAGTTGTTGGATTATTAGTAGCGGCAGTGTCTTAGGTTTTTTTAATAAAAAAGACTTTTATTAATTTCAAAAAACAATTTATAACCGAGCGATCACAAAGATCTAACTATATACAAAAGACAAGTCAACAAAAGTAAGGGCACACTATCGCTTCCACTATTTTCTATCATCTACATTATTTCCAAAATACTTATCATTATGATATCACCCTATGCCATATATAGTCTCCGCAAAAGCCAATCTAAGGATATCAGCCGGCCACCCCTTTTCCCTGTTGTGCATCAAGATCCACTTCCTTTCTTCATATCATATTTCCAGTTCATGTGTTACTTGGATCCACATAAGAACTTGTTTTCATATATTTTTCAGTTCCACACACTTAAAAAGTAGGTGCTCAAGAGTCTCTATATTTAAGCAAAAACCGTATATATTACTCAGTATCATCCCAAATCGACGCATCCTGTCTTTAGTTGAAAATTTCTCATGACAAACGAGCCATAATGTCATCAAGATTCTAGGTCTCACAACATCGTCATAGAACAAACTCTTCTAAATTACCTGCTTTGACCCAACTTCTTTCATCTTCATGTACACTTATTTCATACTGAACCTGTGGTGTCTTAGTTTTAAAACAAAATAAAAATATTAAAAATTTATTTTTATTTTTGTTTTTTGTTTTAGTAAAATCATATTTTAATTTTTTTTAAATCAATTAACTTTATTTCTGCAGAGCAAATTTTAATTTTGAAAATAAATTTTAAAATAAACAATTGAAAACCAACAACCACATTGGAAAAAGTCCTTAAATTTTATATAAAATACAAATTAATTTTATTAAAAAACCTTTTTAAATATTTAATCAATCAAATTTTTGGATTAAATATTTTTTAATTAAATAAAAAATATGTTCATTAGACTATTATAAACATATATAATATTTTTAAATTTATTTAATAATTATTATATCTAATTTATATGTAAATCATATATATATATATATATATATATATATATATATATATATATATATATATATATATATATATATATATATATATATATATATATATATATATATATATATATATATATATATATATATATATATATATATATATATATATATATATTATTTTATATAAAAAAAAAGTCATTTCAAATGGTCAATGTTGTTTCGTATTTTTTTTGCAATTAGTTATATAAGATGGTGCCTAAGTGTTCTTTTTAATTTTTTTAATTTTTTATTTTAATTTTTTTTTAACACTTGAATAAAAAATATAATAAAATATATTGAAAACTATTATTTATGGAAAGGAAAGGTTACAAATTTGAAAATCAATTCCCCGCCCGCTCGAAACGTTTTCTCATTCCACATTCCGACGCATTAGCTTGTCTCATAGGTCTATGATTTTTCCAAGGTGTTTGTGATCTTTGTGTACTGGCCGAAGGAAAAGTTACTTGGTTATAGGGTCCTGGCGTATCAGATATATTTGTAAGCATTTATCCCCAATAGCCGAGGGGTTGCTGCCAACAGTGTTGTCGTAATTAAGTTCAGCGCCCATGTATCCAAAGTTGGGCCATACTGGTTGGGTTGGTTGATGACGGTACGATTGTCGGTGTGTGGTTCTTGGAGGTATGGGTTAGGTTCTTATTGTGGCTAAGTGTGTGGCATGAATGGGATGCGGTTCTGAATGGTTGGTGGTTGGGTGGGTAGATATGGGCGTGCGCTTGGATGTTGGACTGGTGTTTGTTGTTGGCCGTATAACGAGGAGGCTCATTGGCACGAGTCGATCAAGTATGTCGGATCAGACACAAATTGTTGTGTCGTAACCGACCTAAATCAAATCATATAATTCTGAGTTGGTGTAGCCCTTTCCATTACTGGGTCGTTCAAGATGTAGCGACGTCTATCCTTCCAAATTTGACATAGCTCCTTAGCGTAGTCTTTCCAATTGTTTATACCCCATTGACCATCCACTCTTTTTTTATGCCATTTACCCAATGACGTAGGAGCATCTGAAATATCTTGTTGCATGTCAAACTGTAATTTCACTCGGTCACTCTGGTGTATCTCTATTGTAGTGAACCTTATGATAAGTGTTTTTGCTATCCAGACTGACTCATCATTGGGGTTAGGCTCATGGTTGAGTCACTGATACGACATCCAGACAAATCGCATAATAAAAAACCATAATTAAAAGAGTTCTAGTATGTTATTTTTAAAGCCAAATGTATAGTTTTTTTTATTGTAATACATCGTTTGGTCCAAGGTGCTATAAAAAATTTCGATAATGGGTCACATTGGATCTGGGACATTTGCTGTAATCCATCTTCGGAATTGAGCAATCGTTTTCGCTCTAATTGATGGGGAGACTGCCGGGGGATGGAGTTTTTTCCTAAAAAATCTCTGATTACACGTTGCTCTTCAACCTAACTTATGTTTGATTTCAGACAAGCATGCATCAATTGAGAGCGCATGGAAGAATCTCGATAACGGTTGGCAGGATCCTCTTTCAACACACGTCTATTGCATTTAGACACATCGCTCAAAATTTCATAAGGGAGATCAAAGACAAGACTAAAAAAGCATAATTACGCAATTACAACCATCAAGACATTTTTTTGAGAACCATACATCAACATCTCAACATACCAGAAGTCTTCATCATTCTCAACAATAGAAAAATAACAACAACATACCCAAATAAAACAACTCAATGCATCAACTTATCTAGGATATTACAACCATCAAGATAATATCCTTTGGTGTTAACATCATCATAAGGACACCAACATCATTTTTCACTTTTTTTCAAGCACGAGTAACTCCATTTGGGCATGACTCCTCAACTTGCCTCTCAATTTTCTGATCTTTTCATCTGTAATAATTTCTCCTTCTAACCAGCGGTTCAATTCTATATGAAAATACTCTAAGGTCTGCGTGTTCCAAAGTAGGATCTTCATCGGAGGCTTTATTGCTGGAAAAAAATTAGGGCATTTCTTTTCATAAGTGGAAATGTTGGAAGCGGTGAATCTGATGATGATGATGATTGATCTGACCTGATCAGAAGGGGATCACGGGACGGCCACACTCTATTGGACTGCTACGTGCTCACCGATGCTGAGGGGAAAGAAAAGGGGGTGTACCTGCAAAACACTTCGATGCCAAAGTAAGGAATTGGGCAGAACGAGAGCAAAGTACAGAAAGAGGGGTAAGAAGTGTGTTACCTGACCCTCTTGAGGAAGAGGGTATTTATAGAGAGACCCCAGCGCTGGGCCAACGGTCATTTGAGATGGGCTGAATGACCAGGCCCAACCCTAATGACTACTAGGGCTTACGTGGCGTAGTGAAGACCAGGACGTGGTCTTCGCCCTAGTCCACCTGCTCCTAGATCTCCGGAAAGTGGGTTTGACCTGCTCTTTCGGAGGTGGGCAGTTGGTTGATGACGTGTCCCCGCGGAGGGGAGCACGTGGAGAACGTGCGCCGGGCACGTTGTTCTCCCCGCGGAGGGGAGCTCGGGAGGTACCCCGGAGCGCGTTGCTCTTCCCGCGGAGGGGAGGAACCAAGGCCGTGCTTTGATGCGTCGGGGTCTGTTCTGTTCGGCTGGTAAGAGGGGACGACGAGATGCTGTTGGACGCGCTGCTTGTGTCCGATGGCGTGTTCTGCTCGTCTTGCGGGACGCACGTGCCCGGCGTGCCCGATTCGCCCGTTGGGCCGTACGTGGTATTGGGCCTGCCGAGGTCGGGCCCATACCGGAACAATGATGATGAACGCTGATTTAAGAATGCATACATACTTTTAGATTGAGTTGAGAATATTGGTGGTAATTGTTGTGGAGTAACAAATGAACATACAATCTTATTTATAGAAAAATAGAATAGTGTAGTAGTCATATCATATGGCGTATCTACCTAATAAAAATAAATAATTTTGCGCCATTTAAAATTACTAATATAAAATAAGAAATTAAAAATTTAAAAAAAAATCACACTTAGGCGCCATCTTATATGGCTAATTGAAAGAAAAAAAAAAGAATATTGGCACCATATAAAATAACTTTTTAAAAGAAAAAATTAACTAAGGTGTCATATGATATGCCGCTTCTATATAAATGTTTTTTTAAGTTTCATTAATGTGTCATACCATATGAGTCATAACAAATTGCATATATATTTTATTTTAATTGTATATGCCATTTTAAATAGGCACTTTTTCTTTACTTTTTTTTTTCTAAAAATACTTTATTTTTCCATTTCTTTTGAAAAAGTAGGTTATATTAAAAAAATTTCACTAGTATGTAGGGATTATTTATTTATCACAATAATCAGATATATTACCTCAACTCATAATAAAGCTGCCAACTAAGCTATAATCTAGTATTATTTATGACTCTCCTTAAAAGGGTTCAAAGAAACTGTCCAATGAAGACAAAGCAACCCTTATTGTAATCTTTGCTTTGGATACTAACCCTTGTTATCAAATGATTCAGTTATACTCAAACTCCTTTTTCTATTTCTTTACTGTTCTTCCTAGTTCCTTTCTTCACCTAACCCTTCTCCTTTTTTTCTCTTAACCAATTAACACTTTCAATTTTTATTTTGTACATAAAATCAGATTTTACCTTGTGTGGCTTGGATTGAATAAACCACACCCAGATAATTGAATTCACTTGTTTGGGGAATTTGTTTATTCTGATTCTAGGGTTTTTCTATCTTGGAGATTTTTGTAGTCAAAATAATAGGGTTACATCTTATGTTTCATTTTTTTCCCTTTTTCTTATTAAAAATTGAAATTTTTTAATATTATATGAGACTGTGTTTCAATTCAGGAAGTGGGTCATTGAAAGATATCATTTGATCACATTGTTCATCCTCTGTAATAAAAAATAAAAATAAAAGATTTTTTCCCTTGATTTTAGGTGGGGTTTGAACAATTGCGTGTCTTTGTTGTTAGGAGTTTGTTTAAGGTTTGAGAGTTTAACAAATTTTCAATGGGTTTAGATGAGAGCAGAGGCAGTGTTGTGGTATTGGATTCGGTTCATGAGGTGATTGCAATTGATGACAGCAACAATTTGGTTGTGGGGGACAAAGAATATGTTAGTGGAGAGATTGGAACTTCAAGAGAAGTGGGTATGAATTCAGGATCCAGTAAGGAGGGGTCTGCTGAGGAAGTTAAGGTTAAGGAACAGTGTGATGAAGAAAATATTCATGGTGAATTGCGAGTGGTTGATCAAGAAACTAGTTATAATTCAAGCAATTCAGTTAATGAGGAAGTGGTTGAGACTGGCGCTGTTGTAATAGAGTCTGTTCATGTTCAGACTGAGTATCTTAATGGAGAGGAAAGGAAGTTGGAAGCAAACCCTGATGAATCCGGGCTTAGTTTGGTTTCCATGAAATCGCCGAAAGGGGAGTCTGAAATCGATAAAGATTCGTGTGTGATTGATATGAAGTGCAGTAGCCACAAAGGGTTTTCTGAGAATTCACAAGGTGAAAGGATTTGTAGGATTTGTCATCTGGCTTTTGGGCCGGCATCAGACGCAGCAATTGTTGAATATGCTAGCGCTACAAGCGGGGATTTTATTCAACTTGGTTGCGTGTGTAAAGACGAGCTCGGCATTGCACATGTTTATTGTGCTGAAGTGTGGTTCAAGCTTAAGGGAAACAGGTATATATATTTCTAGCCAAATTTCAGTTTGATTTCAATTTATAGATGAATAATAAGATTCACATATTTATGCACCTAGACATAGTTATAACTTGCAATGTTCCTTCAGTCAATGAAGTTCTATGAGGTTAAAGTGACATTAATAATCATTTTGCAACTGTGTTTGAGAGGATTTTAACTCTGTCCCATGAGGTTATGCTGTCAAACTCCACCGAGCTAACACCTCATAGACAAACAACCAAGCCATATCCCCCTAATTGGGGTCGGCTATATGGATCAACTTTCAACGTAATGTTCTATCCAGGATCATGCTTTTATCTAAATTGTTAAGCTCGAGATCTTTAACAATTTAGACCTCATAGACAAAAGTTAGTTGAAAATTGCTTCTCGTCTGTGTGAGTTGTTAAGTTACATCCATATGATGCTATGAATGTTTTGCATCTAGCAAATTATTGCATTCAATTTAATTTTCATGTTCATGTTTGTTCATATTATTTGAAACCATGCTCTTCCTTTTTTTAACAACAGATTATGTGAAATATGTGGTGAGACTGCAAAAAATGTTTCGGGTGTTACTAATAACGGAATTACAGAAGAGTGGAATGATAGAAGATTCATGGACAATGGCGGTAACTCATCCCGTAGATTTGGTGGATGCTGGCGAGCACAGCCTTTTTGTAATTTCTTGATGGCGTGCCTGGTAATAGCTTTCATTATGCCATGGTTTTTTCATGTAAACATGTTCTAGCTTCCGAATGAAACACTTATATTTCCTCCCCCTTCAATTCTTTATACCGATTAATTTATACAGTGAGTGGCATCATAAAATTTTAGTGTCTTCCCTGAAGATGTGAAATTTGCTATTTGAATATATAGCAGTTACCGGCTTGACAAGTGATTGCCAAATTGTTTCCTTCCATTATTTGGATTATGTATATGTTGATTTGAAGTAAATATTGATAAATCTGTTTTCTATTCTTTTTTTTTTTTTTTTTTCGAAAAAACAAACAAAATAACATATTTGAAATTTGGTGCCAATAGATCTTACTGGTGTAGTGTTCATCAGAAGGGTCTGTCTATATTTACAAATTTACAGTGCAAAGAGTTTATATGTGTGTATTTGGCTCGGACCTCTAAGCATTAGTTTGGTTTAGCGGGTGGCTTTTACAGAACCATGGTGGAGTTTGGTGTTTGACAGAAGCTTAGTGCCTGTTTGCTTGTGCATTTCCAAGCAAAAATATGCACGTTGAGATAGTCTTGATCTGTAGCAACGACACCTCTGAAAAAGGTGTGTCTGACCGTGTCAATGTCGAACACTGACACAATAATCGTAATTATGTTCAATTTATTCATTTTTTAAAAATTATTAGGATTCTGTCAACAACATGCCATAAGTTATATTTGATGATAGTCAAAGACCATTGAGAAGTAAAGAGGCAAAGCAAAGTTCAAAATACAGAGTAATTTGCTAGTCAGAAGTCACAAATTCACAAGCATATTTTCACATCTTCATTTCCTTTTTCTTGGAGAAATAAGGTCTTGATTTTGATCAATGATGCAGTGATATCTGTCATATTATTTCGCTCCTCGGGTGAATCCGTGCAACAACTCAAGCTTAAAGCGAAAATAGACGATATATGAAAGACAATGTCATGAATTGTTTTTTCATGTTGCTGGACTAAATTGGAATCCACAACTTCCATCACTGAATGTGGCATTGATCCACTGATCCATGTTTTCAATGTTAATTCTGCTGCAAACATTTCCTCTGTTGGTCTCTTTCTTGTGAACATCTCCATAAGCATAATTCCAAAGCTGTATACATCTCCTTTAACAGAAACCAAACCCTTAGAACCATACTCTGCAAATCCAAATTAGCTTACTATTTATCAAATCAAATATTCTCAAACAGAATATAGAAATTGAAAATGAAAAGATGTAAACGAGAATAAATGACCTGGCGCAACATAGCCAAGAGTAGCTAAAGTCTCTGTATGAATTTCGGATTGACCATCATCCAAGAGTTTGGCAATGCCGAAATCACTAACATGTGCAACCATGTGTCTGTCTAGTAAAACATTACTAGGTTTCAGATCACAATGAACCACTGGTATTGAAGAACCATGATGAAGATATTCCAATGCAGATGCTACATCTATCATTATGTTCAACCTTTGCAAGAAATCTAAACAGTTATATGAATATAACCATTTTTCCACACTTCCATTTGGCATAAACTTCATCACCAAGGATTTGAAATTCGCATTTGAACAGCTACTAATAATTTCAACTAGATTTCGATGTCGTAGATTGCGCATTGCATTGCATTCTACATCAAAGCTCCTTGATGTTGCTTCATAGTTTAAATCAATTACTTTAACTGCAACTAGCTCTCCACTAGAAAGCATCCCTTGATACACAGATCCAAAGCTTCCCTTTCCAAGTAAGTTACTCTCACTGAATCCATTAGTTGCTTGCACTAGTTCATAATAGGAAAACCTTCTTTGAGCTCCTATAGTTGATAAATCTTTTTCAACCCGATTTTCAACCTTTTTCCTTTTATGCAGTACAAGTATAATGAATCCAACAACTAAAATCGCTGACACAATTATTGGCAACATACATTTGATTAATAACATCTTTGCAGTCGACCTTTTCCTAACATGTTTATCACAAGAAGGTACTTGTAAGAGAGGATTACCACAAAGCGCTTCATTATGCATGAAAGATTGAGCTGTGAAATTTTTGAACTGTCCGCCATCAGGAATCTCTCCCTGTAACATATTGTATGAAAAGTTGATACTTTTAAGAAGGGAAAGTGACTCTAGAGATTTTGGAATCACACCAGTAAGAAGATTTTGGGACAAGTCCAAGAATCCCAAACTAAGCATTGTGCCAAGTGATGTGGGAATTGTCCCGTACAATTTGTTATTTGCTAAGGAGAGAGTCTGCAAAGTGTTTATTAAACCTATGGTTTCAGGAATGTTGCTTGAAATTTGATTACCAGACAAATCTAATAGTGTAATTGCTCTCCATTTACTAATCTCCGGTGGAAGATTTCCACTGAAAGCATTGGAGGATAAGTTTACCACTAAGAGATCTCTGAGACTCCAAAAAGAGGAAGGTATCTTAGAGATCAAACTATTAGATGATATGTCAATGTTTCTAAGAGAAGTTATATTTCCCAAACATGCTGGCAACTCTCCAGAAAGCTGATTGTTTGATAGATATAACTCACTCAAACCTCTCATTTCACAAAGCTCGTCACCAATGGATCCTTGTAGTCCGCTGTAGCCGAGATTCAAAGACTGAAGGTTATGTAACCCTCTAATTGTGCGTAGAATTGGTCCATTTAAATCATTCATCATCAGAGATAATCGAATAAGGTTGCTCATGTTTCCGATCTCCAATGGAAAATTACCATTAATTCCGGAAGAATCTGCCCAAAAATATTGTACAGTTAAGTTTCCAATTGACTTGGGAAGTTTGGATAATCTAGTATATGAAATTGACAAATATTTCAGATGTCTACAATCTGTGAGTGAAGTGAGGAAGTTGAATCCAAATGAATCATCTAGTTTCAAATTATGATTGCCATATAAGTGGAGACATTCAACGAGTTTTAAACCACCAAACACATTTGGTATTATTCCACTGAATTCATTTGTCCTAAAGTCTATTTCAGTGAGCTTAGAAGCGTTGGCTATGCCAATTGGAATGCTTCCTCCAAACATGTTTCCAGATAATTGTATTTTTTCCAAATTAGGCAAGCCACGTCCCATGTCTAATGGAAGAATGCCCGAGAGAAAATTGTTTGCAAGATACAAGAATCTCAATGATGAAATGTTCAAGAGTTTTAAAGCAATTTGTCCACTCAAACTATTGTTTGCCAATTGTAGTGTATCAAGTTGATCAAGATAGCCCAACTCCTTGGGTATTGAACCTAATAGAGAAAAATAAATAAATAAATATCTAAATAACAATTTATGAAACGTGTATATATATATATATATATATATATATATATATATATATATATATATATATATATATATATATATATATATATATATATATATATATATATATATATATATATATATATATATATATATATATATATATATATATATATATATATATATATATATATATATATATATATATATATATATATATATATATATATATATATATATATATATATATATATATATTAACTTACTTCAAATCATAATATTTACATGGAATCTAATCTTATGATTAGATTAACCTTTTACTTAATTACTATTAGATTAGATTTAATTCAAAAGATATGATTTGAAATATATATATATATATATATATATATATATATATATATATATATATATATATATATATATATATATATATATATATATATATATATATATATATATATATATCACTCATAAGGAAGCCAAGAAGAAAGAATGCAAGGTTGCGATTTGTATTCAATCTATAGTAGATATAACGAATTTTGATCGAGTTTCTCATGTTGGATCGATGAAAGAGGCATGAGATATTCTCGTCAAATATTTAGAAGGTGGTGAGAAGGTTAAAGTTTTCAAGTTGCAGACATTATGAAGGTAATATGAGTTACTCCAAATGGGAGAAGATGAAAATATGGTAGGCTATATCTCGAAGGTGCAGAATCCTGTTCATCTCACGAAAGGTTGTAGTGAAGTCCTAACTGATAAGATGATAGTTAAGAAGATAATGTGTATATTGACCGCTAACTTTGATCATGTTATTGTAGCCATTCAAGAATCTAACAATCTTGAAAACTTAAAATTGAAAGATTTGGTTGGTTTATTGGAGGCACGTGAGTTAAGGATTGTTGAATAGAAAAGGGTTCAAAATTCAATATAAGCATTATAGGCCCAGGCATAGAAGAAGCATGGTAGTTTCAACAAGTTCAAAGGCAAAGGAGACAAGAGTTAGATCAAGATGTCTTAGGTGAACTCTCAAAAGAATAAGGTTGATAATATGGCTTCTGAATCTTCAAAAAGTGGAGAAGGAACTTCATATCAGAAAGACAAACATGATAAGAAAAGTGTGTCATACTATAGCTATGAAAAATGGGGTCCTTGGCCAAGAATTGTTGGTACAAGAAAGACAAGGGAGCGACAAAAGGCAAGGATGGTGAAGGAGAAAATCTTGCACGTCAAGATTCAGATGATCTGAAGGTATGATGCTTATGGTTGTAGTAGCAGATGAGCATGTCGACTCTAAGATTTGGTTCCTCGACACAAGCTACTTGAATTATATGACTGGTCAAAGAGTGTGGTTAGTAGATTTCGACGAGTTGAAGAAGAGAAAGGGCAGGTTTGCAAATAATAGCTCGTTGCAACAAGAAGGTATTTGAAACACAGTTATTCAAAGGCATAATGGAGAAAAAACTATGATCAAAGATGTACTCTATATATCAGGAATGAAGTGCAATTTGCTAAGTATTGGACAATTGGTCAAAAAATGTTTCTCAGTGCTTATGAAAGATGGAGCCTTAGAATTTTTTGATATCCAGAATAATATGGGCTGAAGATCACCTATGTCGAATAATAAGATATTTTAGACCATGACCAGTTTGACTAAAGTACAATGTCAAAAAATAGTTGCCGACCACAACCATAGCTGGCTGTGGCATTTGAGTTTGGCCATTTGAATTTTAGGTCACTCAATCAACTGATTACTCAAGATATGGTAACTGGTATACCAAGCCTTGTGATGCCCGACAAACTATATGAAGGTTTCTTAGTAGGGAATCAATCTAAAAAATTCTTTGTTTCAACTATACCAATGAGATCCTCAAGCATACTAGAAGTACATTCAGAGGTATGTGGCCCATTAGAGGATCTTACCATTGGGGAAAATAGGTATTTTGCCTCATTTGTCAATAAGTACAGTCGAAAGCTTTGGATCTATATGATATGGCGCAAAGACGAAGTATTTTCAATCTTTAAGAGATTCAAAATACTCTTCGAACAACAAAGTGAAATGAAGATCAAGGTTTTGCAAATAGATGGAGGTGGCGAATACACATCCAAGATATTCAAAGATTTTTATGCAGAACATGGTATTGATCTTAAGCTAACTGATCCTTACACGACTCAACATTATGGAATAGCAGAAAGAGGACATCATACCATGTTAGATATGGAAAGATGTGTGTTAAAACAAAAGAACTTGCCAAAATTCTTATGGGGTGAAGCAGTTACTACTGTTGTTTATATTTTAAACAGGCGCCCTACTAAAAAGCTGAAGAACAAGATTCCTAAAGAAGTATAGAGTGGAAAACGAACATTAGTGAGTCATCTGAAGGTGTTTGCCTCTATTTTTTACAAGCATGTTTTTGATGTAAGAATAAGGAAGCTTGAGGATAAAAGTGAACCAATGATCTTGGTAGGATGTCATAAGACTGAAACATACATGTTATTCAATCTAATCAATGATAATATCGTGATGAGTCGAGACATTGTGATTAATGAGAACTCTATTTGGGATTGGTCTTTAGGAGATGCAACTAACAAGCCATTGATGAGTTATGGCTTTGATGAAGAAATTAGTGAACATGAAGAATTCTAGTTATTGACATTCCAGTCACAGTTGAATTTGAAGTAGATAATATAGAGGATGTGGCTAGCACAAGCCAAAGACCTAAAAGAACCAGAGTTCTCCCATCAAGGCTGTAAGACTGTGAAGGGGTTGGTGATGATGAAGTCACACTAGATGGAGATCTGGTTCATTTCGCTTTACTTGTAGAAGTTGAACCAATCGACTATAGTGAGGCCTTAAAGGATAAATAATGAACAACAACTATGGTCGAAGAGTTACAAGTGAATGAAAAAAATAATACATGGGAGCTAGTCGAATTGCCAACACACATAAAAGCTATCGAAGTAAAGTGGGTGTTCAAGATGAAGAATAATCCCGATGGGTCGATTGCAATACATAAGGCAAGATTAGCAGGTTGATAATATCTTTTAGAGAGCTGGACTCGAGTACTCTGAAGTATATGCACCAGTAGCAAAGTTGGAGACTGTCGGATTCGTAGTAGCCTTAACATGCAAGCAAGGCTGGTCAACATTTCACTTAGATGTTAAATCAGAATTTTTGAATGCTCCCCTAGATGAAGTTGTGTATGTCATGCAACCTTCTAGGTTTGTGATACAAGAGGAAGCAAGGAAAGTGTAAAAGTTGCACAAATCTCTCAGTGGTCTCAAACAGGAACTTAGGGCATGAAACAAGAATATTGACTCATACTTAGTCAAATTAGGATTCATCAAATACTGGTCTGAGTATGATGTCTATGTACAGGTCACGACACAAGATATAAACACCATCTTCTTATATTTCAAGTGTTTTGTGCCCCAATCTCATGGTGCTCGAGAAAACAACTTGTGGTTGCATTATCATCGTGTGAAGCTGAGTATATAGCAGGATCATATGCTGCTTGTCAAGCAATCTGGATTAGATTTATGCTGAATGAGATAAAGGTCAAAGTAAAGAAACCTCTGGTGTTGTAGATCGACAACAAGTCAACCATTAATCTTACAAAGAATATATCTCTACATGGAAGAAGTAAGCACATTAAGTCCATATTTTACTTCATAAGGAGAAGGTAAATCAAGGTGAACTTGAAGTGAGACATTGCTCGAGTGAAACACATTTGGCCGACATGTTCACTAAAGGAATGAAGACCGATAAATTCCTAACTTTAAGAAAGAAATTAGGAATATTTCAGATCGATTAGCTTGTGTTTAGCAACTTGGATTATAAGGGGGTATGTTGTGATATAATCCAATATAGTTAGTTACTTGGTTATCAAGTTAGTTAGTTTGTAATATTAGCTACTTGAGTTGCAAGTAACCTACTGTATATAAATACGTGTATAGTGTACTTCAGTTTTAAGAATTCAATACAATTACTTTTTATTCTCTCAATATTTCACTCTCATTCCTTCCCCACTCAAAGTGCTTCTACACTAACACTTTTTTTCATTAATATTCACTATACTTAAAGTAATTCTATTTGTGAATTTATCGAAGATTAAATATAAACACATCTCAATAATTTTTTGAACTTTAGTTTGTCAAATACAAGTATAATATATTTATTTAGTCCTAAACCCACATGTTAGTAACACAACCGTATTAATTTTTTGGAGGTCATATGCAGATTAGTCAAAATCCAACCATGACAAATAAATTAGAGGTCTTATTTTACCATAATTTAACAAAGATAAATATTTTATGAGGCATTATTTATCTATAGTTTAGTTGTGATAAAAATTTGGCTTTTGTGCAATAACCCGCCTTGCAGTCTCTCAAAGACGACCCTGGTTAGTAAGCATCGTATGTTAATTAGAACATAAATTAAGAAAACAAACATTCTAGTCGTATCACTTCAAATTTTTTTTCCTAGACAACAAGTTAAGAATTTTTTTTCAGAGTTGAGGTCCTAGCTCAAGTGTAGAGACTATATGAACTTCTAAAGATCTAAGGCTAGGTGACTTAAGGAAGTTCATGCTAATTCAAGTTATCTCCATGCACATGTGAAGAAAAGGAAGCAAATAAATACTCTGGTGGCTCTTATAGTAGGAGATACATGAGCATAAGATGTCTCAGAGGTCAGGGGGATGTTGTTAACTACTTTGATAACTAGTTTGTGGAGCCTCTCTAAGATAGACCTACATTGGATGAGATTAAGTTCCGCTCAATAGATGAAAATGAAACATTCCCAACCTCATTTTCTCATTATGAGATCAATTGGTTGTGGCTCATCTTAATGGAAACAAGAGTTTGAGACTTGATGGTTTTAACTTTCCTTTTTTAAGAGGTCATGTAAATTGATTTTAGCAGATGATTGTGTGATATTTGACCATTTTTTTTTTCTTTTTCATCTCTGCCTCATAATTTTTCTTCATAACTTTTAGCTACAATCCTGAAGGTGTACTCTTCAATCCATTTGGGGAAGTCCTAACCTATTTCTTTGACCCAGTCTATTCATAAGTTGGTTTCCGAGGTGCTGGCAACAGACTACCTTCTACTATGAATAGTATTGTTTTGTCAAACCAATTTGCTTTTATTATAGGGAGACAATTAGTGGATGATGTGGTGACCGTTAATGAATTAATAAATGTGAAAAAAAATAAAAAAGGATTGTCTCATATTTAGAGTTGATTCTGAAAAAGGCATATGATTTGATTAAATGAAGTTTTTTTTACTATAGCTTAGGATATAAGGTTTCAATGATATGTAGTAAATTTTGATGTGTGTGTGTGTTATCAGATAATCTTCTAGTGTTTGTTAATAGCAAGCCAACAAAGCTGGTTAATATTTAAAAGGATTTAAAGCAAGGGGGCCTCATTGCTCATTTCCTCTTTCTTCTGGTGGATGAAGGAGTGAGTAGGTCAATCTTGAAGGTGGGACACTTTGGGACTTTTTATCTGTTTCAAGGTTGATTCTTTTTTATTTGGTTGTTTCACATATCCAATATGCAAATGATACTCTTACTTTGGATGAGGCTACAACCAAACATCTTTGTAATATAAAAATTGTTATAATATGTTTTTGAGCTAGCCTCGAAGCTTTGTAGTCGACAACTATTCTTGTGGTCGACAATTATTTTTTAGAAATTATACCTAAGTCGAACTCATCATGGTCTTAAATATTCTATTCTTCGATATATGAGATTTTAAGATTAAGTTATTTTAGATGTCGAAAAGTTCTAAGGCTCCATATTTCATAACCACTGAGAACCTCTTTTCGATCAGTTGTCCAACACTTAGCAGATTGCACTTCATTCAGGGGACATGGAGTATATCTTTGATCAAGGCTTTTGCTCCATTACTCTTTTGAATAACTATGTTGCTAGTACCTTCTCCTTGCAACAAGCTATAATCAACAAGTTTGACCTTGCTCTTCTTCAACTCGTTGAAATCTAATAACCATATTTTTCGACCAGTCATGTGATTCGAGCAACCTAAGTTGAGGAGGCAGATCTGGATTCGACATGGTCATCTGCAACTGCATCCATAACCACCATATCATCAGAATTATCTGAATCTTGATGTGCAAGGTTTGCTCCTTCGTCTTTGCGTTTTGTCGATCCCTTGTCTTTCCTGCATCAACAATGCTTGGCCAAGTGACCCCACTTTTTACAGTTATAGCACTACACACCTTTTATTTCTCTACTTTGTCTTTCTGATAAGAATTTCCTTTTTTTTTTAGGATTCAGAAGTTCTATCATCGATCTTATTCTTTTGAGGGTTCGATCAAGACTTCTTGCCCTGAGTCTTGTCGATTTTGCCTTTGAACTTGTTGGAACCACCATTCTTCTTTCATGATTGAGCCTATACTGCTTGTATCAAGTCTTAAACTCATTTCATTTTGACAATCCTAATCTCATGCGCCTCCAACGAACCAACAAAATCTTCCAGTTTTATGGTTTCAAGATTGTTGAATTCTTGAATAGCTACGATAACGTAATCAAAGTGAGAGGTCAACGTACACAATACCTTCTCAACTACCATCTTATCAGTTAGGGTTTCACCACAACCCTTCATGAGATAGACAAGTTTATGCACCTTCGACACATAGCCTGCAATCTTTTCGTTTCTCCCATCGACAATAATTCATATTGTCGTCGCAAGGTTTGCAACTTGACAACCTTGACTTTCTCACCCCCTTCATCGTACTTGAAAAAAAATATCCTATGCCTCCTCCGCCGATTCAACATGAAAGATTCTGTCAAAATTAGCTGCATCAATCGCCGATTGGATGTAAAACGCTGCCTTGCAATCCTTCTTCTTGGCATCCTTGTGAACGGTTCTCTGTGCGTCAGTTGTATTTTCACCAAGCGCATGAACACCGTTAGTAACCACTTCTAGGATTTCATGAAAGGTAAATAGAGATTGTATTTATTTTCTCCATCAAAGCCAATTCTTGTCGTCAAGAGTTGGAAGGGAGTTTGGTAAATTTTCGTTGTCATTCATCTTTGCAGCGATTGATCAACAATAACCCACAATTCCGAAAACACGATCTCTGACGTATGATTCTTGAAAACACGATCAAGAATCTAACCGGAGTTCTAGATACTAATTTGTTATTGCGTGAGACACTTTTAGTGAGGAAAGAAAGAGAGAGAATAAGAAAATAAGGATTGATGTTATTTAATGATAATGAAACTGAATTACAAAGTTTTTATTTATATACACCTAAGTAACTTGACTATTAAGTAAAATAATAAACTATAAGTAGCAAATCCTAAACTCTAATTAACTTTAGACTTAAACTACACAACTCAACTTGAATTATATCTAATATCTCAACATGTTTGAGCTTTTAACTATTCTAAGTGTTTTGAATTATTTTACTAATTTACCACAAATGAACCTTTCTATTTTTCTGATATATGTAAAGATAGAAAGAAGCAATAAACAGCTAATATGTTATAGAAAATATATCTTACCCTCCAAGTTGTTGTTACTAAGATATAAATAATGAAGTTTGCTCAAGTTTCCAATGTCTTCTGGAATAGGTCCTTTGTTGAAACCGTTGAAGGATAATGATAAACCTTCCAAATTTTCACATTGATGCCAAACAGTTGGTATGTCACCAAAAAATTTGTTATAATGAAGATAAAGTGTTCTAAGATTTGGGAGCCCTTTGCAAATATTTGATGGAAGATTGCCGGAAAGATTATTATTACCAAGAATAAAATGTTGCAACAGTGAGTTGTTGAACATCATTGATGGTATGTTACCATAAAGCTGATTATATTCAAGGTCCACTGTTTTTAGCTGTGTAAGATAACCCATCTCTTTTGGAATTTCTCCTTTAGCACAAGTAGAAAACGAAAGAAAAGAGAGAAATATCAGAAAAGAAATTATATATTTAATGATTAATATATTTGAACAATATATAAATTAAATACATTGATTTTTTAATGAATTCAAAATATATATATTTTTTATAAATAAAACAAAAAAGAGTATAAGAATTACAGGGGTTTTGCCTAGAAACACTTTTGAAAACATAAGATAATCTTATGCACCAACTTTTTTGCATCAAAGTTTTATAAGTCATATCTCTATAATTTAAAATTATAAAAACGAATATTTTAAAGTTAACCAATTTCAACCACACAAGAGGCAGATGAGTTTTCTTTTCATTTAATTCTATCTCTAAAAAATTGGATAGTTTAAAGTTGAACTAATTATTTAACACTAATTAATTTTATTATATTTAATTTTTTTTTTTTTAAATTTTAGAAGTTTTAAAGATAATTTACTTTGTAACCCTATCTAATCTTTTGTGATAGATATAATTAATCTTTTAAAAATTGGATCCATCATTCTGACAAGTGTATTGGATTATTAGTTTATTGATCAAATCATTAGTTGAATTATATAACTAAACTATATTAAATCGAATAATCTGATTGAATTAATAAATCTTAATAATATAATTATATAATTATATAATTATTAAATCGATTGACCCTGTCTTTAAAAAATGATATATTAAAAATTTTAAAATATCATAATTTTACACATTCATTATTTAAATTTGAAATTCAAACATAATCATCACACACAAGTCTAATTCTAATAAATTTAATTTTAAGAAAAAAATCGTTTCAAATAAATTTTGAACAAAATCTATCCGAATTTCCAGTTCTATTAATTTTAAAAAAAATTATCAAGAGAGCATCGTTTTATTTAAGAAAAAACATACAATAATTTAACACGTCAAATTTTTAAAATCGTCTATTCGTTGATTTTTACTGGTGGAGATAAAGTCTAATTTAAACATTACCAACTTCATCCCTAATCGGAAATACTAAATAACCATCCATCCTACCCCTAACATAAACACTGCCTCACTCCATCTGCAAAAATTTTTGTCATGCCTAGAATAGATAAAAAGAGAAATGCTAATAACACTTCTTTTTAACATTCTCAAATACTTATCTTTTTTATTGATTGAAATATATGTGAGTTATACTATTTTATGTGGGATGTATTTATAAAATGAGAGACTCACATTTTAACCGATAAAAAATAAATATTTAAAAGAACGTTGAAAAGAGAGTGTTGCTAACTCTAGATAAAAATGAAAAAAACAAGTAAAAGTTCACATCACTATATAACAATAAAAAAAGTTAATAAAAGCTCAGCCATGCACATACCCGAGAGTGAGTTATTATCTAAATAAATTTCTTCAAGTGAAGACAGCTTGGAAATGGTGTGAGGTATGGTTCCAGACAGTTTGTTACTACCAAGATTCATATATTGAAGTTTTGATAACTCTCCAAATCCTATCGGAGGAATTCCTCCAACAAACTCATTGCAGCTCAAATCAAGAAACTTCAATCGCTGTAACCGAAATAAAGATTGAGGCAATTCACCAGTGAAACCATTGCCTTGAAGATTAAGGTAAACAAGAAACGAGAGATTCCCAAGTTGTGGGGAAATAACACCTTTAAGTCCCATGTTATTAAGATCCAAACCATGGACTCTACCATGGTGTTCATCATCACATGTAACACCAACCCAAGTGCATAAGGAAGATGAGGTTGACCAAGTATTGAACATAAGATAAGGGTCAATGGAGGATTTGAACGCAAGAAGTGAAGATTCATCTCTGGTGATGTTCTTTCTACTCATAGCTAAACAAGTGAAGGAGTAATAATTTAGCGAGAGTGAGAGAAGAAAGAGAAGAGAGCATAGTTTGGCCATTTTCTATAACATTTATCTATATGAAGTCAAGTGTTTAGGGACTAATGAAGATATATATAGAGAAATGAATAACCAAGTAGAAATTATTTAAATAATATATATTTAAATTTACTCAAAACAATTAATTAATCAAAGCATAATTTTACCTTTCTTTTTCTTGTTGCAAATATCTCACCGTTGAAATGGTCAATTGAGGTCGAAACCAAGTCTTCTTGGTGTTAGAGGGCAATACACATCTCTTTCAAGTTGATATGTCATGTCATTTCTCTGTGTGACATGGAGTACCAAATAAACCCCTCTTACAATATCTCCTCATAAAATATCTTGTATCTTCTCTTTATTTGTAAATTATAAATAAAAGGGTTATTTATATATAAAATACCATAAATATGTTTAACCAATTTTAAAACCCCTCTTATCATATTTTCTTTTATATCTAATTTTAAAACATTTATTTTATTTATTTTTGTTTATTTATTTTCTTAAACATTTTGAACCATTAATATTTAATGATAAGTTATTTTATGTATTTATTTTGTTAAATGATTCATCACGATTTAAACGTTGTTATCAATATATAATTTAATTTGTGTTTGAGAGTTATAATCTGAATCAAGTGTACTTAAATTTTTAATGTTATATGATAAATTATTATTTTTTAGTCACTCAATATTAAAAAATTTATTACCAAAAAAATATACATGAATTTTTCACATTTGAATATCATATCACTTATATAAGATCAACGGATAAAAATGTAAATTATTAATAAAAGTCCTCCCCTTCCCTTCTGAACCAAATCCATTTTTATTTAAAATCACTCTCTTCCCCTCCCCTCCCCTCTTTAGAACCAAACACTCATCTGATTAAAAAAAATTTCCCACCTCTTCTCCTTTCACCTTCCTTCCATTAAAATCTCTCTCCTCTCATTCTCATCATTTGAACCAAACAAACTCAAGGGTGAAAAATATAATCATCCCTATTCTTTTGCCTAACCATATCTATGATGACTCTAGAGTAACTCTATTAGTAATCTCCTATCCCAAGATATTTAAAAACATATTATTTTATTGAACACAGTTTCCTTATCGTTTTCCTTCACCATTTGCATGCTAGTTACTATTGAATTTTCAAGATGCTTAAAGCCCTCTTCTAAGATTACTTTATTTCTACACTTCTACAAGTACCAACAAGATATCATAAAGATGGACCTCTAGAGTACTCTTAAAATATGCAATGCCCCCTATAGAGTGTAAACAATTTTGTCCCTGCAAGAAAAAGCTACAAAATGTATAACAAGCTTTTATATGTGATTATGTTGTTTTTCAATTTTAGAAATATTGCCACAAAGAAAATTATCGGGATGAGTCGCGTACTAGGTCGATTTCTGTAAGACATTTTGTCGTACTGCCAAAATTATGCAATGCAGTCGCGTTTCGATGACGTCTTCAGGATAAAACAACCCTTTCAAAAATACGATTATCACTTGCACTGTGATAAATCGTTCGTAGAGATACACCTTCAGATGGTATTTAAACCACTCGTATCTGAAAGTAATTTCAGTTGTCGATGGTGCGATAAACTACTCGTAAATCAGAAAATAAAAAATTTAGATGAAGAGAATGAGAAGGAGAAGAGAGATTCCGAAAATGTTTAGAATTTTTTTTAGAGAGTGCCTTCAACTGATATGAGAGATTCAAGTTATAGATAAGGAACTAATATGCTGAAGAGAAAATAGTGGGAGATTGGAGGGAAAATAGCGGGAGAACAGAGAGAAAATAGTGGGAGAAAGTTATTCAGTCAAAACTAGGGTAAGACTATATTTTGATGAGTGACTCATTATAATTATTAATTAATAATTAATAAATATTAATAATTAATAAATATTAATAATTTAATTTCCACGTAATAAAATAAAATTAACTTCCATTAATTAATCGGATGACCCTTTCAAATTCACATAAAGTTTTTCAACAATCTCCCACTTGAATTTAAAAGGTAATTTTAGAAGTAACGTCAAACGTTTCTAAGATTGTGCATAAGTAAAGGTGTCTACGACTTGAATCTTTGCATATCAAGTAGGATTCCAATTTAACAAGAGTGACATCATTGTCTTGAACTCTGTCTCAAACATCAAATATGCACACAACCTTTTCTTAAGGTGTATTCTAATAGCCCGTGCTTTAATGGCCCTGCACGTGTAGTTTAGTGAAGGCTCTAGGATTTCTGCCTCAAAATTCCATAGGAGACAACCTAAGTTCCACAATCACATAGGCGAGTCTATCAAAAGTACTCATATAGTCTAGATACTCCCTCATACAAATTATAGATCTCATTAAGAGTTTCTATCATCTCATCCTCTTATTACTACATGATTCATGCTTCACTTGCATGCTTATCTCATATTGCACATGACTTATTGTTACCCATTGAACCTATTTCTTGGGATCTCCTGTCATCTAGGTCGGGTTACCCTCATGATAAATTCATTTCTTTATAGACATTAGTCTCAACTTCTTGGATGTATTAAGGATTTTCTCTCTAGCTAATCCTTTCGTCAAATGATCTACTACGTTTTCATCAGTGCGTTCATGATCCACTCTTACAGCTCCTTTAGAGATACAATCTCTAACAGTGTTGCGCTTTCTTCTAATTTGACGTCTTTTACCATTATAATAACGGTTTTTAATTTTTGCAATAGCTGCGATACTATCGCAGTGGATCAACACAGCTGACATAGGTTTTTTCCACAGAAGGATCTCTGATAGCAAGCATCTTAAATAACTTGCTTCTTCACTAGCTGTGGCTAGTGCTATCATCTCAGACTCCATTATGGACTGAGCCTGGATAGTCTGTTTCTTTGATTTCCAAGATACAACTCCTCCAACTATACTAAATATATAACATTAATAGCTTTGGAATCATCCGATAAGGTGTTCCAATCTGCATCACTCTATCCTTCTAGTACAGCAGGACATTTCTGGTAATGTAGGTCGAGATCCATGGTTCTTTTAAGGTACCTCATGACTCTCTCAATAGCTTGTCAATGCTCGTTCCCACGCTAGCTTCCACTCTAGCTCCCTTCGGCCTCGAAAATCATCAGGTTCCATCCAACTCACTCTAGTTTCTATGTTAATTGGTTTTGTACTTCTACATGTTGGGAATAAAAATATAATAGTATTTTATACTTGACTTTTTAAGTTATCAACTAGGTTTTTAATCCCTCGCTTACACTATATTGGGTAAGGTTAAATTGGAGGTCGTACATTTCACCAGACTGTGGGACAGCCACATCCCAAAACCTGTTATCCCATTTCTAGTTATAATAGACCCAGAAGCCCTACATACCTTTTTTCTACCATAAGGCCTCCCAGGCTTCTTATTTAGGTTATATATTTTGTAGATTCTGGTTTGGAAAGTATCTTTGCCTTACCTGATGCTGTAGCAGCTTATACGGATGCGTTGTATAGATGTTCCCATGGAGCGGTAACTAGGTCTAGTGCCCAAAAAGGGAAGATTATCGAAGGGAGGAGTGGAAGCTGCTCTGCCAATTCCCTGGCCAAGAGATGACTTATATCTACATCCATCCTAAGAAAAAGCCAGTGAAAGCTCTTTTCTAGGCCCACAACAGACTCAATAGCTGCAGTTACAGATTCCATTGCGACAAGATCATATTCTTCCTTTTCTGATTCTAACAAGGCATTGATGCTCCTTTTGGATGATTCATTCTGTCTGTGCTCGTCCATTCCGTCGTTTAAATAACATCCCTCTCGGTAAGTGAAACTCCCTCCACCCGCCGCCCTCTCTATCTGCTAACTTCGGTACCTGGGGCATTTCCCTCACATGCTGATGAAAGAAAGCCTCTCTCTTTTATTTATAACATTTCTAAAGAAGTTTACCCAGCCAAAACTACTTCCTTTATTTCTAGTTTTCCCCGTCAAGTTGAAGAAGACTCGCCCCCGAGTCATTAGTGCTTTCTTCACCATAATAAGGAAAAAGATCAGAAACTTTTAATGTTTTTGAAACGTCATACTTAGCTGGTAGTTTAATCTCGTAGGCATTTTCACCAATGCGTTTGAGAACTTTGAATGGTCCATCAACTCTAGGCTTGAGCTTAGCAAATTGTCCTTGCGGGAAACGCTCCTTTTGAATATGAACCTACACCAGATCACCTTCTTTTCAGAAAACTTGTGATGCTTGTTAGCTTGAGCTTGATACTTCTAATTTTGCTTAGTTAGAAATTTTCCCGCTCATAAACTTAGAAACTTTCTTCAACCGCATCTCCACTAAAGTTGTGAGTAGCTGGAAGTGGAGCTAAGTCTAAAGGACTCTCAGGATTTTGGCCATAAACATCTTTAAAAGGACTACTTCCACTAGCTTTAGATTAGGAGTCGAGAGAAGTCTTCTAAGAACTTCCGTAATGCCGAAAGACGAATCAGGGAAGGAGGAAAAATGATTCATAATCACTTTGCTTATGCCCTCTTCCCACCAGTACCCATAAGCTTGTTAGGATGCGAAGCCAAGGCTTCAGGATGGAGAATAAAAACTATCATTCAGTGCCATGCAATGCCGGTGGTCACAAGATGGACCATCCTAAGATGTGTACACTCATGCCGGTAGTCAACCTCTTACTCCAGATTAAGCGATGAAAAGGAATTAGCCCTCTGCGTCCTTCACAAGATTGGTCTTCGACACAACCCATCATTGCGTGGGAACCCTATATAGATAGAGCACCTTGGTATGACTTAAGGTGTGAGCTACATGACTGGATGCAAACTCACTTAGGTTTTATAGACCATGTTAGTACTACGAAGGTACCAGATCGTCTAAGCCACCACAATATAGGAAAAAGAATAAGCAACATGAGAAGGATGTGTCTCAGGTGCAGAGACCTATTTAGAAGGTGAGCCAACATAGTCAGATGCAACCGAGCATGAAGCAGCAAGTGCTGTAGATCTAGTATAACTTATTATTCTCGGATATGTTTGGTTAAGTGAGGT